ATCTTGTTCATTTTTTAATTTTAATTTGGTTTTCCTCCCTCTTCTTTATAATATATTGACATTTGAAAGAAATTTTTAAAACGTGGCTTTTTTTTGGCTTTTTTTTTTTGAGGCAATTGGGGTGAAGTGACTTGCCCAGGGTCAACTAGCAAGTGTCATGTGTCTGAAGCCACATTTGAACTCAGGTCCTCCTGACTCCAGGGCCGGTGCTCTATCCACTGCTCCACCTAGCTGCCCCAAATGTGGCTTATTTAATACATTTATTTGGCTCCTGTATTTTGAAGATGGCCCCTAGTTCAAAGCCCCCTTGTTGATCCCTCTTCTATCTAGGTTTTTGTCTGTGAGGAATATGTGAACTGTGATCAGCCAGCAGGGGGTCTGGCTTAGTGGCGCTTTTTTATTGGGGGGTGTGGGAGGGTGTTCTGGTGGATACGGGTCGTTAGAACTTGGAATCCTGTGAGTTGGAAAGTAAATATGGTCAGTAGGGGCATATACAGTGTGAGCTGCAGTGAGTCTGCCTGGCTCCCAGAGGGCCATGGTTCACCTGCTCCCTCACTCCTAGACCTTCTGACCTAGGGGTTAGAAGAGTATGTCTTGCATGAATGTCAGTATCTAGTGCTGGGTTTTGTGAGTGAGTATCCTAGGTCTATTGTTGATCGTCTCTTCCTACTCTCTTTTTCTTCAGCCATGTGTGAGATGATTAAGATCATGCAAGAGTATGGAGAGGTGACGTGCTGCTTGGGCAGCTCTGCCAATCTGCGCAATAGCTGTCTCTTCTTGCAGAGTGACATCAGGTCTGGATGAGCCAGAACTGTAGCACGTGACCCCAGGGGTTGGCCCCCATCTCCGAGGGAGACCACAAGTGGATCGGGCTGGTGGTGATGGCAGCAGGGGCAGTGACGGAAGTGATGGGAAGGTGCCTGCTCTCGCCTGGGCTCACCTACTTCATGGCTTGTGGCTGTTATTAGATTGTGTTTGCTAGTATTTTGAGTGGCCAGTCAGGGAATGAGAGCACAGGGTCTAAGCCCAGAATCTTGCTAGGAAACAGCAAATCTTTGTAGGATAGGACCTGATGTCTTCTTTCTCCCCCCAACTAAGCAGCATTGCACTGGATCCCCTGTATCCGTCCCGCTGCTCCTGGGAGACCTTTGGCTATGCCACCAGCACCAGCATGGCCCAGGCCTCAGATGGCCTCTCTCCCCTGCAGCTCTCAGGGCAGCTCAACAGTCTGGCCTGCTCGATGGCCTTTCGGCAGGAAGAGAGCATCAGTATCATCCGGCTCATTGAACAGGTGAGGATTCAGAACCCAGCATTTTCATCTTTCTTTCTTTAGGGCCTAGCATAGTGCCATAGCAGGTGGGTAAGTTTTTGTTGAATTAGAGTGAGAGGGACAATTGTCCTGTTGGCTCTCGGTTCAGGCTTTCCACCGTGTGCCCAGAGGAACATAGGACAAGCCTAGGAACCAAGGGACAGAGGGTAGGTAAGGGTCATTCCAGTTGAAGTGATGATTGATTCCCATACCTATCAGTTCTCCTTCCCACTGATCTGGTCTGATTGTCTCCGCAGGCTCGTCATGCTACCTATGGCATCCGCAAGTGCTTCCTTTTCCTGTTGCAATGCCAACTGACTCTAGTGGTTATCCAGGTGAGGTTGGAGCAAGGCAGTAGGTATTGTCTTTCTGCTCCCCTGGGAAAACAGAAGGCTGAGCAGGGACAGTTGTGGTTGTGAGTAGCTTAGATAAGTCTGGGAGTTTGGTGAAGTACTTTCATGTCCTCTGACCCCTATTCCCCCAAATCCCTCTGAGCCTCTCTTTACAGCAAATGAGAGCAGCTGGGCTAGGGGCAGTGCCACAGATCCTGAAGGTTTAGCCCCTTTTTCATTTCTTTAATCCTTGCTTCTTTATTTTTTTTTCCTCCATCTAGTTCCTTTCTTGCCTGGTACAATTGCCACCACTCCTAGGCACCACTGACATCCTGTGGCTGTCCTGTTTCTGCTATCCCCTTCTAAGGTGAGAAGCCATGTGGCATCCCAAAGTGGGGCTGAGTGCTCCCCAAGAAGCATGGGCTCCAGGAAGAATACCATGCAGGGTGTGGCCCCTCTGGGACAGGTGTGCATGGTCCTTTGGGAATTTCTTTCCCATTTCTTCACCCCATCTTCACCCTAGTGGTTCACGTCCTACTCCCCTTTCCCCGATGGGATGCCCTGGAGCCAATCCAGGTGGGGATGGTGAGTGTCCCTGCCCTCCCGGAGGTTTTGGCCTGGTCTTTGTCATGCCTCAAGATAACTGGGGAAGTGGAGCTCCAAGGAGCCAACTATCCCCTTACGCTGCCATCTGCTTTGCAGCGTCTCCCTGCTAGGGAAGCCTCCACATAGCTCTGTCATGTCTGTAGCTACAGGGAAGAATCTTCTCTCCATTCCCAAAAAGGTAGGTGAGGCAAGACCCCCTTTGCACTTGATTTCAATTGATTCCTGGGTTTTCTGAGCCCTCAGTGGTGGTGTGGATGGTGTAGAGCAGATTGGACAAAACTGGAGGCATCTGAAGATGAGATCTTTATTGGGGGGGGTCCATCTAGTCCCCCTAGATCAACAAATGTCTGACGTGGGGGGAGTGGATGTCAGGGGCTCTTACACTGTTCATCCTCAGCATTGCCAACAGACTGTTTCTTGGCTTGAGTTGGCTCAGGGCTGAGCAGGAAAGGGTGGGGTCAGCTGACTGGAGTGGTCCTGTCTCCTGTGAATGACGGCCCCTCTTCTCCCGCAGACCCAGCACTACTTTCTTCTCTGCTTCTTACTCAAGTTTAGCCTGACCATTGGCTCGGGCCTCATCTGCTTTGGCTTCATCCTGCAGAGTTTTTGTGAGAGTGCCCAGGCTCGAAACCTTACTAACTGTTCCTCTATCATGCTGAGCAGGTAGGCCCCACCCTTCACCCCCCTACATAGCTGGTAACTCTTCCTGTGAGGGGACTCCCTGCTCCTTTACCTTCTGAGAGGACTCTTGTCTCCCTTTTTGCCTTTTTTACTCCTTAACTGCCTAACTTCTTTGTGCTGGTTTGTAGCTGTGCTTCCTTCTGATTTGACAGATTTGACGAGATGGCTCCGAATTGGTTTGATGACTTTGCCAATGGGCTCCTGCTGGCCCAGAAACTCACAGCTGCCCTGATCGTCCTTCACACTGGTGAGCATCCCTGACCTCTGGGAGCTTCTGGCCTGGTCCCTCCAGTGTTGCCCGATGAGGACTGACAGTAGCTGCCTTGGCTGAGTCACACGGGGAGTAGGCAGCCCAGGCCAGCGGGGGATTCTGAGGCTCTTTTGTCACCCCTCCCCCAACAGTGTTCATTTCCGTCACCCACGTGCACCGCACCAAGCCCTTGTGGAGAAAGAGCCCCTTCTCCAATCTCTGGTGGACTCTAACCGTGCCTGTGGTGTGAGTACGGCCAGCTTTGGCGCGGTGATCTGGTCCAGGGGTTCCTCGAGGGTGGTTGTTCGAAGTTTGTGAAGTGGGTTCTGGATCAGCTGTCAGGGTTGGAGGTGGACATTGGTGATTTCAGGGGTCACACAGGTACAGATAACCAACTCTTTCCCACTGAAAGATTGGGGAGCTGGTGAGGATTGTACCTCACAGGCTCTACGTCTTTGCTCCTACCTTTGTCAGGCTTCTGGGGCAACTCGTGCAGATAGCTGTGGACTTGCAGCTCTGGACAAACAGGGACAGCGATATTAACTTTGGCCTGGCAGATGTGCCCTTGATAACCTGGCTCCTGGGCTGCCTCTCCCTCATCCTTGTGGTAGTCACGAATGAAATTGTCAAGTTGCATGAAATCCGGTGAGGAGCAAGACAGGTCCAGCCCCCTCTGAGACCAGTTTGCCAAATCTGTTCTTTACGATCCATCATGGAAGAACACCCAAGCCTTTCTCTATTTGCCACTTGGTTCACCTGCTTTCCTTGTTTTCCTTCTGTGTCCTAATCCTCTGTTCATCTTGTGTCATCAGGGTCCGAGTCCGCTACCAGAAGAGGCAGAAACTACAGTTTGAAACTAAGCTTGGCATGAACTCCCCTTTCTGAGCTGCTGGATGCAATCATGTTCTTTTGGCCTAGCCATCCTCTCCTTCCCGGGGACGTTCCACCTGTCCCCTCCACCCCTACCATTTGTGTGTTTGGGGATTGAGGTTGTAACTACTGGAGCGATGGTTCTTGGGCCCTTTAAACTAATACAAGGTAGGAGGAGCCATCAAGGCCTGTGGGCCAAGCCTTCCTGCTCTGTTCCTACTAGATTCTGGAGTCTTCCATTTCTCCCTCTACCACATGCTTTTGGAGGAGTCCAAGAGCCCAGCAGGGGCTCAGCCAGTCCTGGACTTTTTTCTGAGCCCAGCCTGGGGTACGTTTGAATGAAAGGCACCTTTGCAGAAAGGGCCCCTCACCTGAGTGATGTGGCACAGACCCAGACTTTAGGGGCAGAAGCCCCACCTAAGCAATTACCCGAGCTCCCCCTTAGGTGGTGATATTGAATGTGGGGGGGGAGGGGCTTTTGCCTCATCTTCCCATCCCTGACTCCACAGAAGACAGTAGCCACAGGCCCCTCCCTTAACCTCGTCTTCCCAGGCCTGGGGCATGGCTTCTGAGCCTCCCTCTAGCCCTCCCAAGCTTTCACAGAGGAGCCTACTGTTCCTGCCTTTTCTCTGAGACTGAAGATGGAGAGCAGCCCTGGCCACACCCCTAATAGCTGGATGCCACTGCAGGCAGGGTTCCCGGTCCTTCCTCCTAATGTCTTTCCTATGTGAGAGTGTTTTTACTGGTGTACATTTTCTATCAGAAATGAGCCTTTTGGAGATGAATGTAAAAACTCCATTTGTATTAAAACTTGTAAATTGCTTCTGTCATTGACTGGTATCTAATGGGGAGTAGAGAGTGGCCAGGTAGGGGATAACCCCAGGATTCGGAGTGCATGTAGAGGGAGAAGCCTTAGCTGAGGAGGCAAAGAAAGATTCAAAACACAACTACATCAAGTGGAATGAGTCTTTCATTGAAGTTAGTGTTGGGAAGGGGTTAATGGTCAGAGAGAGGGGGCTGCTGACTTAACCAGAGCACTTCTCTGGTCCAAGGTAGCTACAGCCCCTCCCTGCCTGTTAATAGAGAAAATTCCATTTAAAATATACACCTTTCTCTCTGCTTAAAAAAATCTGGAATTACACACAAGTTGGCCAATAACACCAGGCCCATAACACAGCCTGGGCACCACACCCAACATCACAGCAGCTTTGTCAGAGCAGTGGGGGAAAGGGGAACGAGGGTAAGGAGACTGATGGGCACCTGGTTGTGGCTTCATAGCTTCTAGGTGCCATGCCCTGCTGACAGACCCAGCACGGCCTATTTACATGTCCTATATACACACACAGGTCCAGCTGGGAGCAGGCACTGGGACAGCAAAGAAGACCATCCTGGATAGGTCAAGGGCTTGAACTTTGCTTCTAACCATCCCTTCATCTCGAACCCCTTCCAGTCATCCATAAGAAGTCATTCTTTTCTGGGGAAAGTTCTTTTGCCTGTCAGGTCTGTCCCTCCCAGGATACACTGGCTGGGGATGAAGACAGGAGTGGGCAGGAACAAAATACCACAAGGCCTTTGTCCCCTACAGCCTGGAGAGGAAGCTTTTCCCAGAGGCCATGTCCAAGGGGGCAGAGCTATCAGGTCAGATTACACAAGGCCAGGTGCTAGAGCTGGGGCCCCTGAGCCTGTCAGGCTCCAACAAGTTTGCTTCGCCCCTCAGGCTAGGGGCTGTTCAGGGGTGGAGCTGTGGTACTGACAGGTATTGGCTTACAGGAGGAGCAGGCACGGAAGGGCACTCCAGTTCTGCTCCTGCTTCTTGCAGGTCCCAGCCCTTGCCTACGTACTGTTAACTTCTTCCTTGCTGGAGCAAAGCTGTCATTTGCGTGAAGAGCTAGGTTTCCGCTCAATCTAGCATAGCATCCAGTTGGTCAGCTAAGGCATCAAACATGGTGCTGATATCATCCAGGATGTGCTTGGAATTGCCAGGTTGGGAAAGGCTGGTGGAAGGGAGAGGACAGGATCAGTGTCATGACAAACCCAAGGGGCCCTCATCTATGTACTGTAGAATTTATCCTGCAGATAATACGAGGAGCCGGGGGAGGGAGTTGGTAGCTGCTTCTAATCTTCAGTCATTCCAGCAACTGCACCTACTCCCTACCCTTTCCTCTCCCCGATGTCTCTCACCCTTCTCGATCCTCAACACCGATGCTCTTTTCAGCAGCCCTCAGGGCAGCTGCCAGGGAGGAGCTGGTCTGCTCTAGTCTCTGCTGGGCATGAGCAGCAATGGGTGCTCCCCCGTTCTCAGGTTTTGGTGGGGGGGCAGGGCGAGGACCAAGTTTGGGAGCCAGCTTAGGCCCTGAGAATGCAAGTTGTGTACAAGCCACTGACACAGGTTTGGGAGATACACCTAAGGAGAAAGAAAAGCCAGTCTGTTATCTGCAATAGGGCAAAGGACCTCTCAAAACTCCTAACACTCCTCCCTCTCACCCCAAGGCAGGCCATCCCCTCATACCTCCTACTGGCACCTTGATGAGGGCCAGGGGAGCTGAGGACATTTCCCCCTTTTGCTGGGTGGCCACTGAGTCCTCCAGGCCAGACCCAGGCAACTGGGGACCAGGAATCTGAGTCAGGATATTGGTGGAGAGGGAGGAGGCAGTGGTGTTAAGAGTCAGTGAGTTGTTAGGGCCAGGAACTGGAGGGGTGGGAGTCAAAGTGTTGGATGGGGGAGGTGCCGGGGAATCGGTGGTGGGCTGTGAAGGCAATGGGGCCGAGAGGATTGGGGTGGGAGTGGCAGCTCCAAAAGCCAGAAGTGCTGTCTGCAGTGGCTCTCTCTCCCGACATTTGGGCCTCCGCTTGACAGTATCTGACTCTGTGAGGTTGAAGTCAAGTCCAGGGGGAATAGAGACCTCACGGTTCAAGGGGCCGGCAGGCTTGGGCCGCTGCTTGATAGTCAGGTTGCCTTCTTCAGCAAAGGGCAGTCCCTCACCAGAGCTGCCCCGGGAATGGGATGTCCCTTCAGAACCCCGCTCCTCTTCTGTATCTGAAGCAGGACTCCCAGGTGCAGGAGAGCCCGGGGGATCCGAAGGACCAGTTGGTTCACTCAGTGTGCGTCTCCTGGATGCTACAGCTTCTTCTTCGGGCCCTGGGCTCCCACCAGACAGAAGAGAGTCAGGCGTAGTACCAGAGACAGAGCTGAGGCGCTTGGGAGGTGGAGGTGGGGGCCCTTTTCGGCGAGCCCGTAGGGCAAAGGACTGGCTACGGGGAGCTCCCCTAGTTAGAGCAGAGCCAGGGCTGACCTGGGTCAGGGTACTTCGACCAGGGCGCCGGGTCAGAGTAGCATAGCTGTCCAAGGCACTACCTACTGGTCCTTCAGCCTCCCCTTCTGTCAGTCCTGGGCGGCTCAAGCTGTGGGAGCGGCGTTTGGGTCGGGGAGGGTCAGGAGGAGTTGAAGAGGAAGCAGACAGGTAGGAGAAGGCCCGGGGGACACTAGAAGATGGCACAGGAGCTGGACTAGGGGGTGAACTTTGGGGATGCATGAGCATATAGGGGGGTGTGTCCTTGCTGGAAGGGTGTTCGTTACCCTCTGGGAGATTCCTCTCTGGAGGAGGACTGGGGTGCCCAGTATTGGATCTAGGGGTAGGTTGTTCCTGAGAGTGCCCAGAACCCCTAGAACGTGCCCCAATACTCTCCTGGCTAGGAGAACGGGTTGGGGGTAAGGTCAGTGGCTCTGGGGTACCCCTCGCCATGGCTGCTTGCAGTTCAGGGCTGAGTTCACTGGCTTGGAAGGTGACCAACCGGGGTCCGGCAGGGCCATCACCATTCTCCAATCCCTCAATAGCCATCACTTCTGGACCCCCTGCCACTTGCCTCCCACCACCACCCCCACTCCCACTCAGACCCTCCCCCTGCAGCAAGCTCCTTCGAAGCTCTGCCAGACGTTTCACTCCCAGCATCAGCTTCTTCTGATGGCCTGAAGAAGAAAGCAGAGAGAGTCAGGCTGGGTGGGTCCCAGGACCCTGCCACCTAGTCTAGTCACTCAAAAAAAAAATCCCTTCTATGTGTGTTTAGTGCCTAATGACTTCAGATGTACTTTCATGTATATCATCTCATTTACACTCACAATTGTTGTGCGGGTCAGAGCCAAGGTAGGTGTTTTTAATCCCAGTTTCACAGATGAGTCTCTAGCCCAAGATCATACAGTTTAGTAAGGTGACAAGAGTTGTTACCTGAACCCAGGTCTTTTGACTCCAAGTCCTGGACTTCTCCAGGGAAGAGGGGGCACTCTGATTGCTCCCCTCCCCCAGCTGCTTCCCGATGGACACAGTGGGGGACGGGGCAACACAACAGACTCATCAGAGAAGGTGGCAGGCTGGATGGAGGTCCCTGGGGTGGCTAGGAGTTGGAGGCGGTGGTTCACCATGCTTACCGAGTTTATTGACTCCAATTTCCTGCAGCTCTTCCCAGGTGAGGTCGGCTACCAGCCCCATGGAATCATAGCCACTGCTCACTAGTTGTTTGTGATACTGAGGCAGCCCCAGGGCCCCCAGCCACTCCAGTAGGTCCGCCTGCAACAGTGGCCATCAGCTCCAAGCCTCAGGATAAGCACCTAATCCAGAGCCCAGTACAGGGGGTGCTATCCAGCCCTGGGCATGTGACCACTTGTTTTGATCGGTCCTGGTGTGAGGACTATGCCCATGATGGAGGGTGGGGATGGGGACAGTGCTCCTCCACAAGGCATTTGGGGGTGATTGGGCTCAATATCCAGGATGTTGTGACTAGCCACTCACCGGGATGTAGCTGGGTAGCCATTCTGCAATGTTAAGCTGGGTGATCTCAGTAGCAATTTTCTTTCTGTGCCCAGGCTTCGTCACCCCAATGGCTGTCAGGTCCTGGCACATGGGGTAATGCCCATCAGTGTCTATTGCTTGGCACCTCCCTAGCTCGGCTCTTCCCTATCCCTTGCCCTTGCCCTCCCCCACCAGCACTAACCTCTGGCGTCATTCGGCTGATGGTTGGCACGTCGTAACCAGCCTGCAGGAAGTGAGTGGTATAGCTTTCCAGCTGGAACTCGCTCAGCCAGTTGTGAATAGCCTGAGCATCCTGGGGAGCAAGAGAGGGAGAAGGGAAGGCAGATAACTCAGAGGGCTGTGCTTCTCGATTCCCTCCCCAAGCAGCCCAAGGCTAGCTTCGCCCTTTACCCAATCAACTCATCTGCAAGCATTTATTAAGCACTTACTGTATGCTAAGCACACTGCTAAGTGCTGGGGTTACAAAGAGAAAATTAAAACTGTTTTCACCCTCAGTGAATTTACTTTAATGGGAAAGATAACATGTACGCATATAAACAGATACTATATCTATATCTATATCTATATAAAATGAATACTAGATAGGTTTGGGATAGGATACATTAGCAGCTGGGGGGACTAAGAAAGGCTTCAAGTAGAAGGTGGCACTTCAGCTGAGTCTTAAAGGAAAACCAGACATGATAAGAGATGGAGGTGAGGATGGATTTGTACTCTAGACAGCCAGTGCAAAGATTAGGAGGTGGAGTGTTGTTATGTGCAGAACACATATGCCAATATAGCTGGATGAAAGAGTTTGAGGAGGGACATAAAGACTGAGAAGGTAGGAATGGGCTAGGTCCTAAAGAGATTTAAATGTCAAAGTTTATTTTAGAGGTCAGAGGGAGCCATTGGAATATTTTGAGCAAAGGGATAAATGACCTGTGCTTTAAGAAAATTACTTTAGGGGGCAGCTAGGTGGCACAGTGGATAAAGCACCGGCCCTGAAGTCAGGAGGACCTGAGTTCAAATTTGACCTTAGACACTTGACACTTACTGTGTGACTCTGGGCAAGTCATTTAACCCCAACTGCCTCACCAAAAAGCAAAAAAAAAAAAATTTACCTTAGGAGCTATAGGAAGGATGGATTGGAGTAGGGAAAGGCTTGAGGCAGGGAGACAAATAAGAGATGTTGCAGTATTCGAGGCCAAATGCAGTGAAGGTCTGAATAAGGGTATTGGTCATATGAATGGAGAAGAAGCGAAGTATTCAAGAGATATTAGGGAGGAAGAAATTTCAAGATTTGGCAATTATTAGATTTGTGGGATGAGAGGAAGGAGTTGAGGATGACAACGAAGTAACAAAATTGGGTGACTGGGAGGAATGTGGTGCACTTAATATTAATAAGGAAATCTGGAAAAGGATGGGGTTTTTAGAATGGAAGGTAGGGCCTGTATTTGGGACATGAGAGGCCTACTGGACATCTGGCTGGAGTTGTCCAATAGGCAAATTGGTGATGAAGAGCTCAGGAGAGAGATTCGGGCCAGATATATTTGATGGAGAGTGTGAAAATTATTTGAAACAATTTGATCAATTTTTATATGGTTTCATTTTGTGACAGCCATAGTCAGGTGTGTATCCTCCTACCAACACTAGGCTGGCTGAAAAATGTCTAATCTTGACCATATGAAACCGTTTGAGCTGGTTCCCCCTACTTTTAGTTCTTTCTCTTGTCAGGTGCGTGATGGATTACATGCTGTATCCATGTTTTGTTACTCTTATTTGCTGTGTTTTTAATTCTATGGTTCTCCAAGGAAATGTGCTAAAATTGTAGAGCTTAAAGAGCACACTTCACTGACAATTAGAGATATTGCCATGGCTACTGATGTCATGTATTTTAAGAATCCTTCAAAACAGGACTGTTACATCAAAGTGGAAAGGAAAGTGTGGCAGAAAGTGAAAAATGATGCCAACTAGTGTTGCTAAACACCTAAGAAAATTAAGTGAAAACCTTCAGAGGAGCCTGGCAGCTGGAGGGGTTACTGGTGATTCCTTTAGGGCAGTGTAGGCTTCTTTATGTTGGAGAAACAGGAAAAGAGCAGTGAAAAAATACTAACTTGCTATGAAGAAAAAACGCTTGTCATAAACAAGACAATACAAAAACTGGAGTGCTGAAGGTGACTTACTAATAAAACTTACTTTCAATAAAGGTAATACCAAAACTGTTCTCAGAAGAAGTAAAAGTGACCCTATGATATCTGAGCATATTCATTAGACTGCAAAAACATCTACTCAAAAAAATGTTTTGGAGATTTTTTTTAAATTTCCAGTGGGCCTAGAAGTCCCATTTCCATTGAGGAAATGATGAACATATTGATATACTCAGAAACAGAACTGTTCCAGAATTATAGAAATTTCCAGATGGAGATGGGATACTGCAACATGACCTTACACTAGCCCGTGTCATGAAAGGTTAAAACATGTATCCAAGAGATGGAGAGAAATATGCTTCAAGTAGTCTGGGAGATTGCTAGATTTAAGAACCAATGAAAACTTACTGGTGATAATCAAGGCTAGATTTGGAAAATTAAGTGTTTGTCAAAGTACACTTAATGTCCAATGTAATAAAAGTATGGATTCATGATGAAGAATTGCAGAGTATGGGTTAAAGTCCTCCTAAGAATTCAATGCCAAATCATGGGGGGGAAAGTGACTACAGCAAAAAGAGGATATAGAGTACATTCAAAGCTTTTGAAAGACGTGAAAAGTTAGAAGGTTTATTGCATGTCAATAATTTTTAATTATTTCACTTAGTTCTAGTTCATTTGCACATCACTGTAGGTCAAGAAGTCATCTTCAGAAAGATAGTAATGGAACCCATAGAAGTGGATGAAGTCCCCAAGAATAGAGAGAGAAAAGATGGCCCAGCACAGAGTCTTGGAGTACACTCACAGTGGGCATGGCATAGACGAGGAGACTCAGAAGACTGAGAAGGGAGTAGTCAGAGAGGTAGGAGGAAAACCAGGAGGGAGTAGAGTATGATCATCATTGTTAGAACCATGAAGTGTCCAAACTGAGCCCATGGACTGGATTCCTTGGACTCCTGCCCCTTAGTTCTTGCCTCTGTTCAAGTCAAGGACTCCTAGCTACCCAGAGAAACCAGCTGATGAAGCATACCCTAGCAATATCCTCAGCATGCCCTTATCCAACAGCCCAGGTCTGATTACAGTTTATTTGGGTTTTTTTTTTGTTTTTTGGGTTTTTTTAGTGAGGCTATTGGAGTTAAGTGACTTGCCCAGAGTCACACAGCTAGGAAATATTATTTGTCTGAGGCCAGATTTGAACTCAGGTCCTCCTGACTCCAGGGCTGGTGCTCTATCCATTGTGCCACCTAGCTGCCCCATCTGATTACAGTTTAAGGAAAGACCCTCCACCCTCCTCTAAGCCCAAGGTCTAAGAGGTAGGGATACCTTCCCAAATAGGGGTCATACCTTCCCCTCCAGCAGCTGTTCCGGTCTCACATCCTGGTTGAAGATTTGTTCCCTAGGGCGATGGTTCGTCAGAGACCAGTGGCTCAAGCCTTCTGGGGGAGGCAGAGGAGATGGGGTAGGATGAATACAGTATCCTGGCCATCTCGGCCTCCTGAATTCTGCCCACATTTCCTAGCCAAGGGGTACAAGGGTGACCATAGACCACTACCAGTCCTGATGTTCCCTGACCCCAGCCTTCCTCACCTGGTAGGGATGTGGGGTGTAGGCCAGGCAGAGACAGGTCCTCTCCAGTAGGGGTCAGTGGCTGTAAAGGGAGAGCAGAGTCAGAAGCCATGGGGATAGGTATAGGATCAGATTCATAGCTGGAAGGGACCTTAGATCTAGTCCAAGAACTGCAACTGGGCCAAGAATCCCAATTCAGCACCATTTCTGTAATATACAATGCTGAGAATAGTGTCCCCTTGCCCAAAGACGCAGCCCCATACCTGGGTATTCTCAATGAGGAGGCCAGTGTTGTGTCCATTTGGGCCCTCTGAACTTTGACCGCTACCTGCACTGCGGATGCTGCCCACACTCCCTTCACTGCCCACACTGTTTCTGTCACTGGCTGCTGGGAAGAGGAGGAAAAGAACGAGAATCCCTGTAGGCACTATTGGCAACTTATGAGAGGTGACATTATTTATAGAGAACTTTAGGGTTTGCAAAAACTATATAAATTATCTCATTTGATCCTCACAGCAACCCTGTGAGTTATATGCTGTTATTATCCTCACTTGGCAGATGAAGGGACTGAAGGTCAGAGGGATTAGCTGGCTTTTTCAATGTCACACAGAATATTAGGATATGAACCCAGATCTCCCTATTCTCAAGACCAGTGCTCTATCCAGTATACCATGCTGCCTTCAGGAGGATGCTAGGAGCAATGGCTTATGCCAGTTTTCAAGCCCTCAGACAGAAGACTTACCTGGGCTATCTGGGCTAATGCCAACCCGAGGAAGTTGGCTATAAGTGAGAGGGTGCAGGGAGTCATCAGTTGGCAGCTGAGGGGTCCTGGCAAAATTTGGGCGCAGCGGTATGGTCCCAGCTGCGGGGCGGGGTATGGTGACCCCAGCCCGCTTGCTGACCACTTCCACAATGCCCGGTGGGAAGTATCCCACCCGATCAGTGCCCAGTTGGCTCTCATGTATATGTCCCTTCCATCGTCCATCAGGGTGCTGTTCAAGAACCTGCAGACATGCATGGAGAACTGGTTCAGTGGGGCAGCAGAAGGTGTCCAGGTCCAGAGACCTTCTTGTTTGGATCTCTAACTTCCCCTACATCTCTGATGTCCTATAGTCTTTCGGACCCTTCCCTTCCCCTTAAAGAATCATAAAACCTCATCAATGCAACAGACCTTGGGATTCCTTCACTATCCCTCACCGTGATGATGTCTCCAGCCCGGATATTGAGGGCAGTAGGGTCATGGAGGTTCCAGAAATCCTTGAGAGCCCGGACCTTCAGGATCCCTGATGCTTCTGTAAGACAGAGAAAGAGAAAGAGAGAAAGAAAGAGAGAGAGAGAGAGAGAGAGAGAGAGAGAGAGAGAGAGAGAGAGAGAGAGAGAGAGAGAGAGAGAGGAGAGAGAGAGAGAGAGAGAGGGGAGAGAGAGGGAGAGAGAGAGAGAGAGAGAGAGAGAGAGAGAGAGAGAGAGAGAGAGAGAGAGAGAGAGAGAGAGAGAGAGAAGAGATGATGTGAACATTGCTGGGGTCATCTCCCCAACTCAGCCCCTCTTTTCCCTCCCCACTCTGTTGCTGGCCTCAATCTTCCTTCCCAAGTTCCAAACTAAAGCTGAATGTGAAATTCTCTTTTTCTTCTTTCCTTTTATTTTTAATTTTTTTTAATATAAAATACTCCCCAGTGAACTCTGCTTCTCTCTCAGCTCGCCCCAAGTATGTGACATCCCACAATCCCTAACCATGCCAACTACACTCTCTTTTCTCGTGGTCTGGGCTCTCCTTAAGCACCTCCTTTCCCATCACATTATTGCCACTCACCCCGCAGTAACTGCTTGATTTCCCGGCTGGCCTGGGAAGTAGTGAACTGGTTCACGATATCCAGGGCTGTCTGATTATACGTATTCCTGATGTTCACGTCCACACCACCCTGTGATGACCACCATGTATCAATCCCCTTTAAGATCACAATTCTCCCCTCAACTCCAATGTCATCCGTTATGACTCCCATGGAAACTCCTCCATCCTCATTAGACCGTTCACAGCCTAAAGCGTCCACAGGTCTAAAGCTGGAAGGGACTTTGGAGTCCATCTGGGCCAGCTCTATTTCAAACATGAGGAAATGGAGGCCGTGGGGAAGTTAACTGATTTAGCCAAGGTCACAGAGATAAGTAAACATCTGGGAGCAGGCTCTGCACCCAAGTTCACTGCTCCCTGACCCACTGTGCCCTGACTCTGCCTCCCTAGTCCTTGAAACACAGAAGTTGCTCAATCATCACTTGCTGAATGAAGGAATGCCCTTGCCTGCCCGAGTGCCCTGTGGCGTCCTCCTCTTGGCACACATGCCTACCTCCAGCAGCAACCGCACCACCTCGGTCTTGCCGTAGAGCGCTGCCTCATGCAGGGCGGTGCCTGTCTTTGTCTGGCGGTTGATCTCAATCCCAGCTCTCAGCAGCTGCCTGAAGAATGGAGATGGAGGATTGTGGGGGGAGGAGGGAGAGGGAGGAGTTCGCTGTAAAGGCTACGAGGTGCTCGGGAGATGGAGGAGAAGCGGCAGTGACCGGGAGGTGAAAGGACAGCAAGGGAGGGGGCAGCTGGAAGCAGCGGGGCTGAGGGACAGTTACCTGATAACCTCCTTGTGCCCATTCTTGGCCGCCAGGTGCAGGGGGGTGGTGTAGTTGGGGTCATTTGGATCCTTGGCCTCGCCCTCCAACAAAGCCACACATAGGTGGCTATTTAGGAGTAGCTGGGCTACCTGTGGGTACCGTGCCCATGTCAGGAACCTTTCCTTTTAGGTTCCAGAAATAGCTACCCCAAGATCACTCGAATCCTACCCCCCCCACAATATACCCAGAGTATAATCTGAGGTACAGAGTGAACATGGGGTGAGAGGCCTCCCCTGGGGTACAGTGGGGGCAGGGGAGTGGGGATGCCTCACCTTGAGTCGTCCAAACTCACAGGCCAAATCCAGAGGGGTCTTCTTAGCCTTGTTGACGAGGCAGGGGTTAGACTGATGCTGCAGAAGCATTTCTGACTGAGAAGGGGACAGAGAGTAAGTATTTAGCCCTGGCCTTTTCCCCTCTATGCTGGGAAGGGGAGGGAGACAAAGCAAACTCCCCAGGATGGTAGATCTACTTCCGAAAATTGCCACCCGAAGAACTCACTCACCACTTCATAATGCCCGTACTGGGCCGCCAGGTGCAGCGGGATCTGCCCGTCCAGGGAAGCAGCATTGACGGCAGCGGCTGCTCTCAGGAGCAGGCGCACGGGTTCCAGCCGGCCCTGCCAGGCTGCGTAGTGCAAGGGACGCATGCCTGCAAGCAGAGGGACGGACCAAGCATGACCTCTCAGGCTGGCGGGGGCGTAAGCAGGAGGAATTTGCTGAAATTATCTGGGTTCAGCCCTCTCAGAGCCAAGTGTCTGACTGATACTGAAAAACAGTGGCTCAGTGGATGTAAATCTAGAACGGGAGCCCTCACCTTGGGGTCCATGAAGTTTATGGGTTTTTTCAATCCTATGATAACCGTATTTCAATAACAGGTTTGCTTTGCAATCTTATGTATTTTATTTCATGAATTAAAAAAAAATTATTCTGAGAAGAGATCCATAGGTTTCACCAGAATATCAAAAAAGGGTCCATGACACTGCTTGGTATTTACATAAGACTTTTTGTTTGCAAAGCACTTAATCTATGTGATTTAATTGCCATCCTCACAACATTCCTATAATTGTCCCCACTTTACAGACTGAGGAAACTGAGGCTGGATTTGAACTCAGGTCTTCCTGACTCCAAGTCCAGTGCTCTCTCCAGTAAGTCTCACCACAGCTGCCCAGCTGGGGTACCCAGGAAGGATGGGAAGTTTCAGGTTTTCACCATTGCTGTCTTTGATATCCACTGTGGCTTGTGCCTCTAGTAATAATGCCATCAGTTCCAGGCTGCCTCCCAAGGCTGCATGGTGCAGAGCTGAGAACCTGGGGGACACAGCAGAAGAAGAGGGTCCCAATTTAGCGCATATCCCGCCACCTTGACATCTATAACCTAGGCCTCTACCAAGCCATCCACTGGGCCCCAGAACCACCCAGGGAATGGGGTGGCAGGAAAGGGCTGGGCTATCTCTGCCCGATGTTCCCCTCCTCGCCCTTCTCCACCTCCCCCCCGCCACCACCACCGTGGGAGCGCAGCGAGAGGCCAGCTGAATGAAAGGGCTCAGTGTCTGGGCTGAGAGGCCTGTTTGTCTGGCCATCTCCCTCCCCCCTACTCAGTGGGCCCAGAGGAGGGGGTCGTGGGAGCGGGAGCCTGAGGATTTCTACCCTAGAGGGGAGAAAAGGGGGCCCAGCAGGAATCTGACCTGAAGGAATACCCTCCTAAAGAATGGAAATCTCCTCCCCCCTGACCACCCAGCCACATGCCTTTAAGCTCTGTGGGTCTGTATGACCCTATCCCACCCACTCAGATACCCCTCTTCCTGCCCCAGGCTTCCTCAGATCCCAGAAATCTAATTAATGATACCCCAAGTATATGGCCCCTTGGGGCTTCCTAACTCCTATTACCCACTGCCTCAGTTTCCCAACTGTGTACTCCCTGGGGAAAGCAATTGTGCTCACTCACCCATCTGTATCCTGGTAGTTTACGTTGAGCTTCTTAGTGGAGCCGAGGAGTTCTGAGGGAAGGGGGCAAAGTTAGGTCAGAGCCAGAGCCCATCTACAGCCCACCCTATACCCTGCCCTCCCTGCCCCCAACACACACACACACACACACACACACACACACCACACACACACATACACACACACACACACACACACATACACACACATGCCCGCATGCACTGCAGCCTGATTTCTCTTTACCCTACCCCAAGTCCTGCAAAAGCTGGCACTGACCTCTTGGTGTACAGGAAAACACAAGTCCCATGGCCCCTGACCCACTCCCCACTGATGCCCTGCTCTTCAAAATCAAGGAACCACTGCAGCAGCCCAAGCCTTCCTCTTTCCACAGTCCCCCAGACTAGCTTCTGCTTATAGGGACAATGGAGTATGTGGGGGTGTGTGGGGGGAGGTGGCATTGCCAGCATGCTGTGCCCTATGCCGAACAAGCCCATGGAACACATGGTTGACATTCTTGCTGAATTAGGCAAAGGAGAGGGGGAGAAACCTTGGGTATGGGGTTCTAAGGCTTAGGAATGGAAGGACAAATGCCATCCATGCCTTGGGGGACCATTTCTTCATTGTTGCCCCAGCAACAATCTCTTGCCATAGGGTTACCCAACCTTCAATCTTGGGGACCCTCCCTGGCTGCCATAATTACGGAGATGGCCCCCTGCCTAGCCACATGTTGGGGCTGGGCTAGAAATTCAATTCAAACAAACATATTTTATTAGTTAACTACCATGTGTAGGACACTGGGTTAGGTTCTGGGAATACAAAGATGAAATACAACATACACCCTTCCTTCAAGTAGATTACAATCTATCGACACATCCCAGTTCTTAGGGGGAGTTGGATAGAGAGATGAGAAGTGTAATTGTTATCCATGTATGAGTAGACATGGGAGGGAAGGGTGAAAAGGGGCTCTATGCAGACCACCAAAGAGGGATCTGTCAGAGATCTGAGCACCTAGAATTCCCTTTCTCCTGGGGGTTCCCATCTCTGCCAGGGAGGAAGCTTGGCCCACCCCAGCCTAGGCAGGGAGCCAAGCACACTGGTCCAGGCCTGCCCCTAGGTCCCAGCTGGGCCCCCTAAATGCCCCTGCAGCCTAGGCAGGACAAGATGTCATTCCACTAGTGATGAGCCAAGTCAACTGGGGAGTGGCACAAGGGGCATGTGGGGGAAGAAGTGGCATGGCTTCTTTCCTGGGCTCCCTATCTCTGGAAGTAAGTTAGACTCTCCCCAAAGGGGTTATGTGTAGACACAAGAGAGTCAGACCTGGGAGAATTTAAGGGGGAGTGGAGTTGATACGTCTGATGGTCAAGAAGAAAAAATCTAAATGCATAACTGCATGGAATTACTCCTCTAGACCTCAGTTTCCTCTTCTGACAACTCCACAGGGAACAGATAAGAGAGTATTTCCAGCTCAGCACCAGTTACTGGGGTGGCAGAGGTGAGGGTTAGGGCTCAAAGGTCAGCAGCAGCTGCCAGGAGTGACAAGGGACCTTCCTCAGCTCCTCATTGGCACGTAGGTGGCTCTGCTGCAGAGAGCAGCCAAAAACTCACTCTCAGGGGAGCGGCAGAAAAACTCAGTCTTACAGTCAGGAACAGGAACGAGGGCCAGGTCATGCTGGATTGCTCCAGCCAGGCCAGAACAATGACCGGAAAGGCGGTTGGGGGGAGACTGTTACCCTGTGGGGGCGGAGTACCACGAGAGAGTACGAGAGAGGGAGTGATGTTCCCCGGGTAGCCCTGCCCAAATCCCTCTTCCCCTTAGGGGTCTCAGTACCCTTGGTGACACAGGGTGGGAACACAGGATATGAGCTCAGTGTCTCTTCCCCAAACCCCCTCCCAGCTCCAGGAACCAGGAAATGCTTTTCCCCTTCCTCTGATTAAAAAAGGAAAGAGTTCAGAAAAAGGACGGAGGTGGGGAGGAATAAAGAGAGAGGCAGGGGCAAGGCCGGGCAACCCCAGCCCTCTCCTCCTGGCCACCTGCTCCTCTCCCTGCTTCTCAGTCAGGATGGAGGGGATTCTTTCTTGTGCAGTTGACCCAAGGGAAGGGCAGGCAGTGACTCCATCTGGGTTAGGGGAACTACAGCAGCTGTGGAGGAGGAGATGGGGTTGTGAGGACAGGACCTTCATGGACCAAATCCCTAGCAGGGGAGGGAGCAGAGGCCCCATTCACCCTGCTCCTCCTTCAGAATGAGGCCAAGACCTCATGCAGCATCCTGGCATCTGGCATGGTCCCTGAAGGTAGCACCTTCCCTTCTGCCACCTCAGGTAGCTGGGAAATTCTGGGCTCAGGAGGAAGAGACTGGGTCCTCTCCCCTCACCCTCATAGCTCACTCTCATTCTCAAGCTTTAGGACAGGGTGGGAGGAACAGAATACTAACGAACACCCTGCTCCCCGCATTTCTGCTCAGGTCAGCCCTGCCTAGCTGCTAAAGCCTTCCCTCTGAAGTTACTTTCTAACGATTCTGTATATCTCCAGCTTGTATGTACCTAGTTATTTACATGTCCTTTCCCCCATTAGATTGTAAGCTCCTTGTGAACAGGGATTGTTTTGTGCTTTTCTTTGTACACTCAGTTCTTAGCATAGTGCCTGGCACATAGTAAGATATTAACAAATGCTTGTTGACTGACTGACTGACCTCCCCTTTACATAAGCACACACACGTATATCTCATTCAAGGACACAATTGGCAGCAGGGAGGGAGGGTTGGCTGAGGTACATCATTGGTTGGGGAAATTGGGGGCCATGTCTCGTTCTAAGTAGTGCCACTGAGAGGGAGGGGGGAGCTCTAATGGGAGGAAAAAAGATCCCATAGTCCTTGTAGACACTAAGCTTCCTTGTTATGTGGCCATAGAATGTAATCTCCTAGAGGGCAGGGACTGTTTTTGCCTTTCTACGTATCACTAGTTTTTAGCACAGGGTCTGGCACATTGCCCTGGAGGAGGCTGAGATGTGCCCATATCAAGACTGAGAGAGGGGCAGCTAGGTGGCACAGTGGATAGAGCACTGGCCCTGGATTCAGGAGGACCTGAGTTCAAATCTAGCCTCAGACACATAACACTTACTAGCTGCATGACCCTGGGCAAGTCACTTAACCCCCATTGCCTAACCAAAAAAAAAAAAAAAGACTGAGATAGACCTCTCTCACTCCGCTTCATTTGGAATCCAGGCCAGCAGTGGAAAAACAGGGAAGGTGGCCCGGCCAGTCTGTGCCCTCTCTTCTCCTACCTACCACTACACCAAGTTACTGCCATATCACAAACACTGCCTGGCCTAAGTAAGGTGACAACAAAGTTCCCAGATTCACTGATGACCCTATAACACCAACCCCAGTCCTAGCCTAACCCAGCACTTAGCACATAGTAGGCATTTAAAATAAATGTTTGTGTATTCATTGACGATATTCCACTGTCCCAGGGGGGGTTGGCTCTGACTTTGTATTCTTATGAACCATGAGGACAGAGGCAGCTCCATCAAGGCCATGCTGGGCAGGAGGCCAAAAACAACACAGAGAAGGAGGGAAAAATGAGCGCATGGGGAAACAGGGTTAGGGTGTGGGGCAGAGCTGCACCCTCTCACAGTCTGCAGAGCAGACCCCTAGGAGCACAGCAAGGCTCAAATCTACTTTTAAATGTTTAAAATTAGGTGGTGATCTCTGGACTTCCTTCTTCCCCACCCAACAACAAACAATCCAGGTCTACAAGCACTGACCCCTCCCCTCAAGCTTTTCACTCTGGCTCAGGAAAAATTATCAAGTCAACATACTGTTGTAACTGGGAAGGACATGACAACCTTCAGCTCTGGACCAACTCTCCTTTCCCTGGTCCTTATATTGTAACTTCCCAAGTAGAATGTAGGCTACATAGGGCAGGGTCACTTTTATACTTAATAATAATAGCAAAATAATAATAAGAGCCAGCACTGCGCTAAGCATTTTACAATATTTTCTTTTTATCCTTATAACAATTCCATTTTGTAGTTGGGGAAACTGAGGCAAAGGTTAAGAGACTTGCCTAAGGTCATACAGCTAGCTAGTAAGTGTCTGAGACAGGACTGAACTCAGGTCTTCTTAACTCCAGGCCTGCACCTAGCACTCTGCTGGTCAAATGGCATGGTCTCAATAAACTCTTGCTGATTGATTAATTCAGAGAAACATTAGCCAAAGGCGACATGTACAGAATACTCAAAACTCATGGATAGATGCTGCTCCTTGGGGCTGCAGCCTGGTGTTGGCCCAGCCCCCAAAGAAGAGACCAGTAAGTTCCCCAAGGCCTTGTCCTCCTAGAAATCTTCTTTCTGCACCAATCTGGAAGCTCACATCCCATGAAAGGAAAGAAATATGTCGATGCCAACAGTAACCTCATTGCTCTCTAAGTTCAGGATCAAACGAGGTGGGGACAACTAGGGGGGTGTGAAGTGGATAGAGCATCAGGCCTGGAGTCAGGAAGACCCATCTTCCTGAGTTCAAATCTGGCCTCAGACGCTTATTAGCTATGTGACCCTGGGCAAGTCACTTCACTCTGCCTCAGTTTCCTCATCTGTAAAATGAGCTGGAGAAGGAAATGGCAAACCACTCCAGTATGCTAGCCAAGAAAATCCCAAATGGGGTCATGAAGAATAGGACACAACTGAAAAACAACTGAACAACAACAACTTTGGAGTTTCTACAAAGTATTAGCTCTGAACACTAGGTACTCTGGAGCTACTATGCCACCAGAAGATGTGGCCAATGAGGGCTAAAGCTCCCAAAGCCATGAATCCTCCTGGGCCTGTTTCCAACTCATCCCACCCACAGGACTGTAAGGATAACACTACTAATGGAATGACTTCTTTAAGATCAGCCCTGGCCACATAACAAGGAAGCTTAGTGTCTACACGGACTATGGGATCTTTTTTCCTCCCAATTAGAGCTCCCCCTCCCTCTCAGTGGCACTACTTAGAACGAGACATGACCCCCAATTTCCCCAACCAATGATGTACCTCAGCCAACCCTCCCTCCCTGCTGCCAAATGCAAGGCTTCCCACCCAAGGTTGCCCTCCCCAAACCCTGTGGAAAGGGCAGCCTTCCAGTCACACCAGGGGGAACTCACTGCTTTTAGCTGCCTTGAATTTGGCCACCAGCTTCTGTACCCCAGCTACATCCCCATTCTTCACAGCAAGAATCAGGTCCTGCTCCCTCCCCATCCTGAACTGGAAGGCTGGGGCTCTGAAGGGCAGGGCACAGAGAGCAGGAGATGACCCCGGATATCCTGGGCTTCAAGATGCCATGCCCCAGCTCCTCAGAAGGCCTGCCAAAAAATCCAGTTAAAAGTCCTGGGGATGGAAGTCCAGAGCTGAGGAGGAGCAGTGCCCTTGGGCCGATGGCTGGCTGGCTGGCTGTCAGCAGTTGACTGGTCCTGGTTCCAGGTGCTCAGAGAATTGCTACCACAAGCAGGAAAACCAATCTTGGAGGGCGCCTGCGACGGGTGAAGATCTGGACTGAGACCAACTTGCGGCTTCTGACAACTCTGGGATGGGCCAGAACTGGCCACGCCACCCTTCCCTGTTTGGCTCTGGAACTCCAGCGCCTATTCTGAAAAATGCCAGCATCCCCTCTGGCAGGTCATGGGGTCTGTTTCTGTCCTGGAAAGATAAGGCATTCCCCACACAACAGTAGTCTCTTTGCTGGAGAGGAAGGCTCAAATCTTCAGCTGTGGCCTAAAGAAATTTAAGAAAGAAGGTATCAGACGTAAGGGAGGCCAAGAGCCAGAGATCCAGCACCCCCTGGGTATTACTGCCATCCCAGGACAACTCCAAGGAAATCTCAGGAGAATGACTTTTGCTTTATGATGAAGAAGCAGGGCTGAGCCTGTCAAGATGGTTAAGAGGTAACCATGATGTAAAAAAGTGGGAAGGGGTGGGGGTGCTGGGTTGACGGGAGGGAAGCACTGAGTTCTGGGAAGGGGAGGCTGAGTCACTTATATCCATGGGGCATCTAGCAGCACCTCAGACTTGGGGCAGGAGAGGCCCTAATAGCATGACATGGGGACTGGGGTAAAGCAGGCCTCCTCCCCATAGCCCCAGGTTCCTAACACCCACAGACAACTGACTTGGTGTGGAAAGCAGGGGGCCTAGGGCACTGGGCACGAATCCCAAGGGGTAGGAGTTGACATTCTTTGCCTTAAATTAAGAGCTCCCATCCTCCATACACATCCTGGGCTGTTCTCTAAATATATATCTGATTCCCCATTTCCTAGTTGGCCTCAGTTCACTAGCTAGCTGTTCTAGGGTTCCTTATGGTAGGTTGGGATGGGAGAGGAAGAACACTGGACAGGACAGTAACCCCCAAAAGAATCTGTGTGAGTGGAAGGAGGCAGCGCTGAATTCTTGGACAGAGAAGCTGGACACCTGTTGCTCACCCATTCTTGGTTGAGTGTGTGTGTGTGTGTGTGTGTGTGTGTGTGTGTGTGTGTGTGTGACTTTTTTGGGGGGACAGAAAAGAGGCGAGATGTTCCTCCCAATCACTGCCCCCTCCCCCTTACCTTTCACCCCGGATCCAAGTACTAAACTCTCAAACTGGTAACAAGCCAACCAACATCAGTTTTCTCAGCTAATCGTATGCTTTCACCCACCCCGAAGCTGGGGGCGGAGACCTGGGACCTAGGTTGCAGGGGGCTCCCTCCCCAAAAACAAACAGCCCTGTGGCTCTTCCTACACCACTCTCGCAGGTTGGATACTCCCGCCCCCACTCCACTTCCAGGACCCAAATCTCAGCTATCTAGCAAGAGGGCGCCCGCGACTGGATACGGGACTCATTATCCCCCTTCACTCCCGCCCCCTTCAGAGCCCCCTACCCTGGGAGGAGAAACAATGCAAGGGGGACGGGAAAAGGGAAACAGCGGACGCTTGGATTAGACTGGGGATTGGGAGGGGAGGTAGGGTGGGAAGTTGGGATGAGAGGATAGGAAGGGAAGCACAGAGTCGGAAGGTGGGGGCAACAGCCTATCCCGCAGGGAAAGTTACTTTGTATCCTCCTCTAGTATCGCTTCTCCTCCCCCTTCAGTTCCGGGCAGTTTGTCTCACCGCTTCCAGGTCCAGCCGCCTCGCCTAAGTTCTCAGGATCCCACCTCAGCCCCTTGCAATTCCAGAGCACAGCTCCCGCCGGCCCTTCTCCTTTCTCCTCCTTCTCCTCTTCCTCCGCGGCCGGCTCGGCGCCTCCAGCAGGAAATCCCGCCCATCCCCCTCCCCACACCCTCCTCTCCCTCCAGCCGGATTTGGAGTTCGGGAGCTCTGGGGCCCTCCCGGCCAAGCCGTCGGACTGTCACTCAGCCCGCTCCGCCCCGCCTACTTGCTTCTGTCCCTGCCCGACCCAGGGAGTCCGAAACTGACATGACGCATGCGCCCAGGTGAGGCGCGTCTCTCACCCTTCCTGCCTCCTCTCCCCAAGCCACCCCGCCCCCTCCCCACGCACACCCGATCCCAGTACCACCCCTGGAGAGAAAGAGTCTTTAGAAACCGAGGTGGCTGGTGTTAGCTTCCTAAGCAAAAGGCACCAAACCAAGACACAAAAGAATTAGAAGAAAAGTGACCCAAAAGGGAAAAGAAAACGTGGGATGGGAGAGAAATAATATCTGGGGACCTACTTTCTCCTCTTTCACTCCCGGGTTCCAGAAGCACCCCCAGAAAGTTGTGGCTCCCCAATTATTCTTGCCCTAGTTGGAGCAATGGCTCCATCTCGCGGAAGATCCTGAGACCGTCCTGCCTCTTAATTTTTCCGACTCATGAACTAGGGAGCCCCAGGGGACCGCCCCCAAACCCCTAAGATGTGCTTAAGAACATCTCTGGAGAGGCTGGGGCGGAGGAGAAATTCTACGGCTGGGGATATGGGTTCTTTTGTTTTTTACTAGGGAGAATGTACGTGTGTGTTGGGGGGTTAGGAAACGCTAAATTTAGAGCCAGGGATCCCTGCATTCGAATCCCAGTTTTGCTACTCGCTACCTGTGCAATCTTAGACAAGTCGCTTCTCCTTTCTGGATTGAATTAAATGACCTTTCAAGTTCCTTCCAATCCCAAATCTATGATTTGGTGAGTTGGCTGACCTGTCCTAGCCAGGTACAAGACTAGTTCTAGCCAGAAGACAGATTAAGGCATTCTGCTAGTTATTCCTGTTCCCGCCCTGGAGACAAAATCTTTGGGAAAAGACAATTTTGCCTTCGGAAATAATTTGGGATTTGGGGTTGTGAATGATGGAAGTGTGAGGACACTTGCCTGGACTTGGTAGGGAGGGGACCGGTGAAATCTTCATTTTCAGCACTATCCTGGGTCGGACAGCTCTCCGCCCCCCCCACAGCACCCCAAAACCCTTATCCCCATATTCCTAGGTTAGGACTAAAGAAGGACATAGGTCGAGGTCCCTCCAAGATACAGTTCTAGAATTTCCCGCGTTCAGTTTAGAAAATATTCAAATATTTTTCAAATTCCAATCCAGGAACCCACATCTCTTACCTCGAATCAAGCTCTTTTCTCCGCCCAGCGTCCCCTTCTGGCTTGGTTTTAGCTCCTAAAAGATGTTAGCGACTCAAGACAAATATACATCTTGCCCCAAGGTCCTGCATTCCTTTATCCACCCTATCCACCCCCAGACAGCCTCCTCCTTTAGTCCTACTTTAGAAGCATCCCTAGAGAGCGTGCTGGGAAGCCGACACGTGTATGTTGATCAGGGTGGGGTGGGGTGGAGATCAGGGTCTTCCGAAAGTCAGACTGTTTGCTGTACCTCTGATCCCGCGGTCTTCTTCCACCCAGAGGGACAGAGGGTAGCTGAGGCATAAGGAAGAGCCCGGGAAGTCTCCAATCCGGCGGGAGGGGATATTGGTTGGGCACTAGGACCCGGAGGGGGGGGAGGCGGGGAAGGTTGCAAGAGCTTAGAATCCGAAGGGCGCTAGGGCCGCGCGGCGTCCAGGAGGCGGAGCTAGAACGGGCCTGCCTGACTCCGAGTTGCCTAGGTCTGCCTGATGGATCCGGCGCCTGAGCAGCCACTGGAGCCCGAGCCCGGGGCAGTGCTGATTCCCGCTGGCCGCATGCTCAGGTGAGCTTGGGGGGAAAGCAGGGGCAGTGGAGGGTGCTGACTTGGAGGGGTGGCGCCCCGGGAAATCCTCCAAGATTCAGCTGGCAGACCACGGGGGGGGGTAGTTTTAGACAGGAGGGAGGTGTGGTTTGGAGAGAGAAAAAGGAGCAGGTTCTGGGAAGGTGGGAGCAGAGTTAGGAGTGAGGGTCCAGGTGCTTCCGGGAAGGGGAAGGGAGGAGAAGCGGAGATGAAGCGGAGTGTAAGGTGACCAGCTAGGACCAAAGAGAGGCAAAGACTAGGAGGCAGGACAAGCAGGGCAGGGGTCCCTTGTTTCCCCAAACTTTGTGAACTTAGGTCTCTGTGCCCCCGCCTCCCTCAACTGCAACCTTCTCTTCCTCTTGCAGCCCCGAGGAGTTATTCGCAGCCCGATCCCGGGACCAGAAGCTGCCTCTGCGCTCCCATGGCCAGAAGGTCTTCCTCCCCGACGGCTCGGAGGCCCAGGAGGAGCAGCTGCGGCTGTGTAGACAAGAGCTCTGGACCCTCCTTGCGGAGGAGCGAGTGGAGCGACGGTGGGAGAAACTTTGGGGCGAGCGGGGTTGGGAGGAAGGGGAGAGAGAGGCGCACACACAGAGAGAAACTAAGGCCTGTGCGTGTGTGTGTGTGTGTGTGTGTGTGTGTGTGTGTGTTTTGGGGCGGGGGGGTGGCCACTGTCTGGATATTTACGAAGTTTTGGGGAGAGGAAGAGAAGGAAGGGGATGTAATGTCCTGAAAACCTCAAAGAAGGCCACAGTTAGGGGGTGCTACCCTATATCCTGGGGAGAAAGACCCAGATTGTTTGTTTTTAACAGTCTAAGAATTTTTTTTTTTGCTTTTTTGGTGAGACAGTCGGGTTAAGTGACTTGCCCAGGGTCACACAACAGGTCCTCCTGACTCCAGGTCAGGTGCTCTATCTACTGCGCCACCAAGCTGCACCTCAGCCTGATAATTTTCGAACTGATTTTCTGTCCCTTTTCCATTCCCCTCCAGGGGCAGCTTGGTGACTGCTGAGTGGAGTCCTCAGGATGGAGTGGTAACTCTGAAGTCCTTTGCGGTGAGTGCTAATATGCTATGCCAGTAGCAGGTAGAGAAGGGGATCCCTGGTGACCACTAGGCACCCTGCCCCACCTTTATAATTTCCATTCTCTTTCATATAGGGTAAATTCTGGCAAACCATGGGCTTCTCTGAAGGGGGTCAGCAGCGGTTATACCCAGAAGAGGCCCTGTACTTGCTGGAATGTGTAAGTTTCCATAGAAGGGGATGAGTACCTGATGCATCAGAACACTTTGCTGGTCTGAGTCTCAGTTGCCTTATTTGTAAAATGGAGATAATAACTTGTGTGTCAAATGCTTTGCAAACTATAAAATGTCTTCTTTTGAGTCTGTGGAAATGTAATTTATTGGAGCAAGTATTTATGTATGAGATGTCCAGGCAGAAAGGAATTTTCAGACTAGTTAGGATTAGAAAACTAAGACACATACTTCAATTACATTTATATATACACTATGTGCCTGGCATGTTGTTGTTATTTTTGAGTCATGTCTGACTCAGTGTGACCCCATTTGAGTTTTTTTTTCCCAAAGACTGGAGTAAGTGGTTTGCCATTTCCTTCTCCAGCTTGTTTTACAAATGAGAAAACTGAGGCAAATAGGGTTAAGTGACTTGCCCAGGGTCACATAGCTGGGAAGTATCTGAGTCAGATAATAAGCACAGAAAGATCTTATATTCAATATGACTTCCTATCAATTGTGTGTATAAATATGTGGTTTAATACAGAATATAATTTACAGGATCCTGCTTCTTTGCATCTATTCTTCATCAAGGATAACCTTCCATGTAAAGATTTTATGGAGATGAGGAATGAGTCATGTGGGTCCATGGTTTCTTTTTAAATTTTAAGTAATATTTTAAAATGTATTTGATTTTATTTTTAATGTATGGACTAAAACACGAGTATCCATAACATAGTATAATAAAAAAGATAATTATATATGAAACTGTAAATTATACATGAAACTCGCCATTCCCTTTAAATATATATGTTATTATGTAAATTTCCCCCTCCTCATCCCATCCTAGAGATGGATACCAATAGACACAAATAAGTATATGTATGTAAATTTAATATATTACATGTTAACATATGTAAAATTACTGTATACGTATTTCTCTTTATCAGTTCTTTCTCTGGATGCAGACAGTGTCTTTCTTCATATGTCCTTTATTTTTAATTTGTGTATTTATAATAGTCAAAATGACTTAGTCACTCAAAGTCATTCTTAAAACAATATTGCTGTTACTGTGTATGTTGTTCTTTTGGTTCTGCTCACTTCATGCTTTGCCATTTCAGCTAAGTTTTTCCATGCCTTTCTAAAATCATTGAGCTCATCATTTGTTATAAGCACTGAAGTATTCGATCACAAGCATACACTACAACTTGTTCAGCCATTCCCCAATTAATGGGTGTCCCTGCAATTTCCGGTTCTCATTCACATTCAGAGTTATAATTACTATTTGTGAATTTCCCTCCATCTTATTTTTATTCACTGTTCAGCCACTCTTTTTACCCTATCCCTGTTCTTCTCTTACCCTATACCCTATCTTCTTCTCCCCTCACCTTCCTCCTACCTTCCAACCTACACCCCCCCCAAAACCTCTCCTCTATCCTGTCTCCCAGTTTTCTCATCTCTCAACACGTTCAGAAAGCTTCTATACCCTTCTAGATATATATGTTGTTTCCTCTTCAACCCAGATGAGAGTAAGGTTCTAACATTAGCAGCCCTTCACCCCTATTTGCTTCCTCTGTTAGTATCTTTCAAAATGTCTTTTGCTTAATATAGACACTTCCCACCATATCCCTACCCAATCCTCTCCTTTACTGGCACAAACCAGAACCTTCCCATAACTTAGATGTTTTTCAAGAGCTGCTATGGCTGAAAAATGTATCACCCTGAAGCTAACCTGGTAGTGAGCCACTCTGAATTTAAGCTAGTCTAGTTTTTCAACCAGGTGAGCTGTAGTCCATCATGAGGCCCGTGCTCAAAAGTTTTTCCAGGTTGGTGTAGGACCTG